TTGAAAAGTATGCAATTAGTATCGGCATTATAAATCAGCAAGTCTTGGCCTTATTTCAATCGGATTACTTTGCAAGTTAAAGAAAATACTTATTACTGATGACCAATTCACTTTTCATGGTTTATATTTATTTACCTATTAACTCAAAAAAATTATTCAAAAATTATGTCAAACAGTAAACATTACTAATGATATTATGTGAATTCAGCAACTCTATCAAAACTTGATGAATTGTTTTCAAATTTCAAAAGTATAAAAAAAACAAGAAAAAAAAACAACCAAATATTTTTCTATTTGAACATTTGGATAATTATAATTTGATTTTGGTAAATAAAAATTGTACAGATTTGCCCCATTTATTGTTCTATCAATTATATCTTGAAGGGAAATAATTAGTGTTCAATTTTGGTGTGGGGTTAAGGACTAGGGTTACATGATGGACGTTTCAGTAAAATTGTCGTACGGGTACTGCCGTGCTCATTATGTTTTTGTTAGACTGCTACAGCTGCCATTCCTTGATTTCACTTATTTATCTACCTTTCCTTACCCATTCATTTCCATGCTTCTCGTTTGAAAGCAGAGAATAAAAAGCTTTTTTATAAGATTAAAGCCAATTTTACTGATCCATGATGACCTTTCTGCCCTCTTTCACAAATACCTAACAATGTTTGAACAAAAATTTCTTTTAATAAGCCTTGTCGTGTCCATACACTTTTTGAAAGGTTTTAGTTCATCCTATTGAAACAAAATTGCACTTGTGGACTGGAACAAGGATACAAGTTAGATTATGAGGTATTAACAACTCTATTCATGATATGTCTCTTGTTTTTAAGATTGCTGTACAAGGATGTGACACCTTGTACAGCAGTGTAAATCGGTAATTCACTCCTACTTGCAGAGAATTCAGTTGCTAACAAAATAAATTGCGCATATTGCATAGAGAACAAGACTTTTTTCTTTTCCAATTTCTTCTTTCAGACATAAGTATTATACAAAAGCAACCTTTCTGTAGAAGGCCACAGGTCAAACAGGTAGGGAAAATGAACATAAATAAAAAGATACGTCGTAAATTTGAAATTTTGCTTCAATGTGTTGTCAGACTTTTTCTGACTTTTATTTTGTTTTTAAACCAATTCAACTCAAATGATAAGGACTCATTCATTTAAAAAAATCAATCTAGTTAACCTTCTCGTTTCATTTTGGTAGTTGAAAGACAGAGATGTTAAGTGAAATGCAACTTGTCATTATATTGCAACTACCGCATATCGATTACAGTAATTTGCATAATACTTATGAACCTATTATCTCATTACGCATTCTTTTTGAAGGTATGATAGAGTGCTTTCAACGAAAGGAAAAGACAGCGCAGTGAAGGGATGGGATAGAGGTAAACGATATTGGCCCCCTTGATAGTATCAACACAATCTTGGGCTGAATCCTGTCGGCTTTCTTTGTTTAATTCTACGTAATAGCGCTGCTACACTCTCATTTGAGCGCACATGTAGGCTACACAACGACAATAAGCTTTCTAAGCATATTTGCCAATGTGCCAATATTTACCACAAAATAATAGCTCCCTTTAAGAAATCCCTATTATCGGTTTCCCTTTTCTTGCTAGGAGCTATAACAATTACACTTATAATAAAGAATGAGTAATTGGGTATATGAACCAAACTATGCTTCGTATAGAATTGCCACAATTAGTTTAAAATTGTTAATCAAACTTTCTAGAACTTTAAAAAATTTCTAAATTCATTGATTTCAATAACTGTATATAAATGTAATACTAAATGTTAAAAAATTTTTAGATTTAATATATGGAAAATCAGACTGAAATTATAGATTTCAAGTGTTTATAAAAATACTCTGACTTCCTAATTGAGATGATAATTTGGAGTGAAAGGATATTCAGTGACTGATTAATTAAAACCAATCAAAGCAAATCAACAGGAAATTGAAAAACGGTGAGTAATGCTTAGCATAAATTGACTCCTGTTGATCGCTTAAAAGCATGCTTTGAATTATTGGATCATATCCCATTGTAATAAAATGTAACACAAACCAGGTTGTCCAAATGCTGTTGTATGACACGTCGGTAGTCGTAATGATGAGCAACTGAAGCACGATGAATTTAACGTTGTTGGCTAAAATTTTACACAACCTTGAACAACAAAATTATATCCCAGCTGATTGAATTTCAATTATTTTTTTCAACCGTTTTAAAAAATCGCAAGTTAAAAATTAATACTAAATATTTTAAATTATTCGCCGATTAATACCACCGCATAATTTTCAATCTGTGGTAATATTAATTGGCGGATGATTTAAAAACATACCTTTACCTCCTCCTTTACAGTTGTTGTCGTTGTCGACGAATGACTTGGTGCCGTAGCATGAAATGAATTAGCGTTCAAATTCATCCCTATAAGGAAAGACAGGATAAAATAATAAGCACATTGTCAGAAAGTTGAACAGTAACTCAATATGAGAATGTAAATTAGTGAAAAGTAATTAGTAATAAAATCAAATTTATGTTCACTCAATATAAAAGATCAGTATGTGATATTTCAAAAAGGTTTCACGAAATCCGAATCCCTGATTTGATATGTACTATAACATTTTGCATGTTTTGTTACTTATTTGTTTTCTAAACTTAAAAATAAAGCAAGAGAAAAAAATATGAATAAATAAGCTTACACTTTTGACATGAGTCAGAATTTCAAAAACATTCAACAGATCAAAGAAAAGTTTGGAAAATAAAATTTCGATAAATATTTATTTGTTCTTTTTACAAATTTGACTGCAATAACATTTGCCTCCGAGGAAGGAAATCAGTTTATTACTTTGCCCGAGAACTGGCTTTCAATTCTGCCTAATTCTTTTCAGTCCCTTTTAACCTTAATGTTCTGCAATTGAAATGTAATAAATTTCGAGATAAAAGTAATTTGAAAAATATAGCTATTGAACTTCAAAATTTCCCTAATAAAATTTGTACCGCCCCAATCAAATTGAATATTATTCTTTCTTCAAATTTATAGACGTAACTTTCTGTAATGAAATTTGCTTGCTGTTCTGCTACTGTTTTCATTTCTCAAATAATAACGCTATTACAACATCCCTCCAAGAAAATTGAAACTCGAAATTTGCACAAAAATCAACAAGACATGTTTGCTTGAGTTGTATTGCAGCTTCACATAGGAATTCGGGAAATCAAAAATCATTATCCTCCAAGTCTATGTAAAATCCAACTAAAAATCAATGAAACTGTGAGCTTTTCAAAATTTCCTTCTTTACAAATCATTAGCTATCTCAAGCGCACATTATTCAAGAGAATGCTATAATTTGTATAATAAATAGAGTTAGTTACCATGCAGACGAATCTTGTTTAAATAAGTTTTTGAATGCTATTTTCGTTTTTGTTTATTCTTGAATCAGAAAAAGTAATTAAACAAACTAGACAATTGGAATATTTTAATTTACTTATATCACGAAAGTATTAGAGGGATTAAAAAGCATTTCCAGGAAGACACAAAACGAGTTAATTGAAATCCATATCAATAATAAGACTCATTTCGAAGGACTTATTTTCGAAAGTTAATTTCTAGAAGTCATTGCTTTGAGAAAAGAATGCTTAATATAATAAATTAGTTTCCAAAAGCTTTCTTCGAGATAATGCGCAAAACGAATCAGTCTTAAGTGCACTTCACAGTACTTGCTGAGTCTTCGAGAGGTTACAAAAGGTATGTTGTACTGATAAAGTATCGCGTTACCGTGACATCTACAGTAACAGATCGTTGTGTCATCATTAATTTCCCTATTCTTTTGTATTGCAAGACATATCAGTGAATATGAAATCTGGGAAATGAATGATAAAATGAAAGGATCAATTTAAAATTCAAGAAAAAACTAATAAGTGCTCAAGCAATCAATCAAGCAACAACGAAGCACTGAATAAGAAAAATTACCGGTTTGATGAGTGATTTGCTGTTTATGCATTTGTATCGAAGTACTGCTTGTGTCATAAAAAATGTTCCTCTGTGAAATGGGAACCATATTTGCTGTAGTGTTAACGTTCGCATTGGCTGATGATAACTGAAAGGAGAATTGACGTATCAATGTTTTACGTATCAATAGAAAAGTTCTACTTAAGTGGTACATAATTACTAAGTTATAAACAAGCCTTTTGCTTAATTTTAGTCCGTCAAAATTTCTTGATTTTTAATTTATTTTGCTAATCTATTTCGAAACCTTAAATTCCATCATTACTGTAAGTGCAGAAAAATGATTTAGTTCCCAGAATATAATAACAAAATAGCTAATTCGGAAGTAAAGTTAACAACGGTCAATAACCGTAATTGCAACAAGAGATCGTCCAAACCATGCTCAGCATTTTACTACCCTTAAATATCATGCGGCAAATTTTTGCTGAACTAAATAACATGATTTTAATTCTATGGGTTATAAAATGCAACTTCTAGCAATCAGAGAAGCTTCATGAAATTACAATTATTTTAACAGGCGTAATGATTTCATAGATTTCAAATCATAAAATTATGTTGGGAAAGTGAAACTATGGTAGATCAAAAATGCATTCAGCGCAAGCATTTGTAGCTATTTTTTAATAATTTAGAACAAATTAAAAAAAAAAGATATAGATTTATCTATATTTTTGCATCTAAAATCAAACTTTTGAAGGAGTTGATCATAATCTTTGAAGTAATATGTATTGAATACAGTAGAATGTTTTAAACATATAGCTGCAAAAGTTATAAGATACATTAAAGTGGAGTAAAAGGGTAATGAAGAGTGTCACATTGCCAGCTTAAGTTAGTGATATACAAGGTGAAATCTATAATGAGCTAGAGTGATGAATGTTTGTAAAGCAGAAAATAAAAACTAGCCAATATGGGAAAATGAGAAAGACATTGCAAGTTAAGATGGAATTTCCGATTATTTTCTTCAATACCTGAAAAGCGCCGAAATTAAAATTGGTAAGAGCGATGTTTGGCTGTGGATCTTTGCTTACTGATGAGCTTGTACTAGCAGCTGGTCCAGGTAGAGCCGATGTTGCCACTTGTAATGCAGGCAGTAGTGGCGCAGAATTAGGATTAGCTGGTTGCTGTCGAACATCCGATTTTGAATCCATTTGCAGTCAGTTTCCTTCCCGTACTGCGGCGATAACGTCCGGCATCTCCTTCCCCTCTGATTTCCTTCTTTTTCTTGGCTCGGAAGCCTTGGAAACTATTATGATCGACCAACCCATCTTCCAAGAAGGACGCACCATATCCGTGGTTCGTTACGGAAGTGGGCGGAGTGAAAAGCACGCTGAACTATCGATATCGTTAGCCCAGCAGTTGAAGTGCCAAACTCTAGCCAATCATTTGTACAGACTTGGCGGAAGGGGTGGATCAACAGCAAAATGAACGGTAATTAGGCTTTTCTTTTCCCTTTCATCTCGGATAATATCAAAAGTATTGAGATTTTCTAAGTCCAAAGCTAACCTCTAAACCTCTCAAAGCTTTAGACACCTTGCATTGCTTCTGCTATTGATGTTAAAGATAAAATGCTTTGAACTGCATTCATTTCTCAATGCCAAACAATAATTACTTCTCTTTATCGATGTCAGATATTAAAAGATTCTAGAAAGAAGAAGAAATGGATACTAAAACTTCGACTTCTTAATATAACTTTAAATATATTAATGCTTAAACTGCATAATGTCACATTTTTATGTTTAATGTTACCACCTAATTATATTTATTTTTCAACGGTATTTTATAAGAGTGCTTGTCTTCTACCTTCTGCAATTTTTTCCATTATAATTTCCTTATAAGATTAAACGATGAGACGGATGGTGCATTATTGTTGGATTTATAACAATCCAAATTTCATTTAACTTTTAATTTTTGTAACAGCCAAAAAAATGAAATGCTGAAGTGATTTGTTGAGTATTAATTGTAATACAAAAATGAACAAAATTTAAATCAAGTCCAATTTAATACGAATATTTCTATTGATACCATAGGAAAAACTTTTTTACTTATCCGAATTACTCGGTTGCACATTTATGTGAACAAGATTTTAAGATATCTTAAAATCAAATAAAGCTAAGCTCATAGAGGTTACTGTTTATGCCATATTATAAAATTTAATATTATTTGTCGCTCAATTTGAAACCGATTAGTTTTAAAGTTGCACGAAAAATTCGGATTTTCCAAATTACGGAACTAATTTTTGCCGACTATTTGAACTTACTAAGAGATTAACAATTGAAAGAGATTTGTGAAAATTATGAAATGCAAAATTATTTCTTGAATGAATGGAAATTTAACTTTCTTTCATCATTTCCAAATCACTCCTTCAATATTGCAAAAAATTTTTATATTATTCGACTACATTTTCAAAATCTTTTTTCAAAATGTTCTCATTAATTCAATTACTTCCTGATTCATCGGTACAAACAATTAGAGCATAAATGTTGTTTCATAATTATTTACTTCAGGATGTTGAGAATCAAACAAAATGCTAGTAGAATGATTTTCTACCATAACCTTATAAATAAATGGAATATAGAAATATTGTTTGAATAAATTTTATTACCACAAAAGAATAGAAATTAAATGAATTTTTCTGCATATGCTCTAGTAGCTATTACTTTGTTACTCAGTTTGATGTTTTTTATTCATTATCATTTCACAGTGAGCAATATTTCCTAAAATAAATTGCCAACAAATGAACAAAATTTAATAAAATTTAACAGTAAGTTTGAAAACAATAAAACTAAAGGACAAAGAAAACTCTTCACTGGTTAAAACTAAATTCCTTAAAATCGAAATGTGACAATTATAAAAATAATATCGATAAATAAGTATGAAAAAAAAAATTCAAATCACAGATTTTTTTTTACTATACAGAGGAAAGTTTGGAAGTATGAATTATGTGTAATAGTATATGTTGCATATTTGGCGCTCAAATCTTTTGAAGAATAATGAAGAATAAAAAGTAATCAGAATATGAAAGTGAAGACAATATGGTATCAAATTTGCAAATTATTAACTAATGAAGGAAATAAATATTTCTGAAACAATAAATGCTTCAAGTTTAATTACTTTGTCGTCATTTTTTGATAAAAATATAAATGGTAAGAAAGGAAGTGACATCCATTAAATGTCGCATAGTTGAAATAGAAACATTTAGAAAAATAAGACAGCGGTTTCATTACAAAAAATAAACGGAAAGAAAGAAGTATATAAACAGGAAATGCAACTAATGCGTTAGCGGTCGGAGTGTAGCACCGAAATACTGTGATACCGCAAATCGGAAAAAGACTCACAGCAGGTAACACATTTTACCTCTCTCTTCTTCTTCACCAAACTGTCTCGCAAACAAACAGCATGATCCACTCCTCGATCAACAAATAAGGCTACTCGTAAGTCAAGAAGCTATGTAAACATGTTGAATAATGAAGTATTACAAATTGTTCTTATATTATAAAAGTGTGTATCAATGTCCAAGTATAATTGCAAGTGAATCTGCAAAACTAGATCAATGTACAAAGCCTGATGCAGGTAACACATGCCAATTCATATTTTACTCTGTCTATATGTCCAGATTTTATTAGGTTAATTTGTATAAACAGTATTTTACTGTATTATAAGGATAATTCTTAATATCTTGTTTATAAAAATTGTTCCTAGATCTCTCGTTATAGGTTTGTCGTAGTCTGCGATGAAGTAATTGAAATAACGAAGTTGTAATTTACATTTGCATGCGTAGTAGGATGAAAGACACTTCTAGAGCCTGAAATATTCATAGGAATCATTGCCAAAATTTATTTCACATCACAATTTTTATTGCAATTATTGAATGTAATGAAGTGAAATGCATTGCAGCAATTAGATATATATGTGTATGACCTAAGATGGACGATGTTTATTGCTGGTCATTTGTGCAATGTACAGCACTCACTCCTCAATTGACTTAGTCATTTCCATATACATTCAGTTCCTATAATCTAAGAGTCCAACAGCCACTGTTTACTTCATTCCCGGTATGGTCCTCAGTTTCTGAACTCTTTTTACCTTTCATTCCAGCCTTTCCATTATGATTAATTCATTCCTACTCTTCTTTGATCTTTTAAATTGTTATTGTTCTAACCTTTCATTAGCGATCAGACGGAGAATATTTGCGAAAAATCTAATTAGAGAATATATTTCTTCTTTTAGCACAAGAATTCCGAGAGAAAAAACCTGAATATTGTGCTAATATTGTATTATAACTAATGAATAAAATTTACCTGCTAATTACAGGTGAGTGCAACTTATGGTACACATGATTATCTGTGAGGGTTGTAAAACTGAATAAGACATGATGAAAGTTTTCCTTTCTTTTACCTCTGAAGTAATTTGAATGGGCTGATTTTTGGTGACAGCTTTTTCAAGAGGTTAGGATTGATTCTTTCAGGATTGAAATCCATTTATACCCTTAAATACAGAATAGTAAGCGAATATAGCAATAAACAAAATAGATGCATTTAAAAAAGGCAAATATTTAATCATATTTTGGAAGTATCACTTCGAAGGTTTTAAGACTCGATCACTATTGAAAGTCTTAATAACAAGTAATGATTTAGTAGTGTCTCCCAGTTGGTTGCGTTTCCGTTTAGTCTTATGCCCTACTCTTTTTAATAATTAATGATCTCATATCACCCAAAAGAATTGATTGCCATTTTGCAAATCATTTCAAAATCGCAGTTAACTGACTGACTCATTGCTCATTGTTTTTCATTTCAAATTCTCTAAATCTCCATTTCTCAGAAACTATTTCAGTAACCACTTGAAGCACCCGCCTGACTGTTTCATCATCTCTAAAAGTGCTTCGCTAATGAACGGAATGGGATAGCCGATTGCGGTATTTTGCTTTTAACTAGCTTTTAAATGGGTAATTTACATGGTAGAGTGGATACTGTCATCATGAATCTTTCAGCTGTTCTTTCCGCTTCTTTTTTCTTTTCAAGCAAGGACCGGGAAGAAATGAATTATGGCCTTTACCACAAATTTGAACGGCTTTAGACCATAAGCATTAGCAGTATTAAACAATAGCTATTAAGCAACCGATACTTTAAGAAAAAAAATATATCCCTACCAAAAATTTAAGAGAAACATAAGGGTTGAAACATTTTGCTCAAGTTAAAAAATTTTTATTGAAACATTCAGCATATTCTGAAATTCTTATTTTCACATTCTTCTCACCTCTGAAGGAGGAAATTTTATTCAACAGGCCAGAAACAATTTTATTAAATTTGAAGACACTATTGGTTCTAGAAAAAAAAATTAGAAATAAGCGTCTGTGGTACTTTCGTCTCCATCTTTTCATGTCACTTTTTCTTATCAAAGTTTGTTTTAGTTATTTTACTCAAAGAAAGAATAATCATTTCGTACAGTTTATCGTTGCAATAATTTTATGCAAATTACACATTGATCAAGGAATGTTACTTAAATGCGAAAAGTGCCTTTTCTGGGCGTTTTGTAAATCTTTTTTGATGACTGCACGGTTACCTCAAATAGAAAAAGTCAAAGCTGCTTTTGTTGTGGCTGTTGTAGCTTGCGCCTTTGCATGCTATTATTTCATTAAAGTCAGTTATCATTTAACTGACAATTTGACTTCTAAAATTAAATATCCAAGTGCCAACAACTTCAAGATTTCTATACAATTGCCTGACTTGTTTTGCAGGAAGTATTGCAAAAATAACAAAAATTATTTGTGCAATAGAAAAATAACAAAAATACAAAAAATTTAAGTCTCCAAAAACTTAGATCAAGTTTCTCACATAAATTTATTCATAAAATATATTAACAGTCATATATCACATTTTCATATATTTTGAGTGCAGTGATTTAACTCGAATATAAACCGATCATTTAATTGGTAAATTATTATTCTAAAATGAGCTATTATTCTTATTCTTAGCAGAAGTACAAAGCCATCTATTAGCTTTATGATTTTCAAAAGAAAGGAAAAATTTTAGAGCAGCAGAAGATTAGGGACGCAAAGTGTTCCAGGACAACAGCAAAGTCAGGTAGAGTGCAAAAAGTTTATAAGGTAGACAGACCTGTTAAATGAAGAGTTAAGATCGAATATTAGCAGCTGCTATAAATATTCTAATTTGTATGCGCTTGAAGCTCCTTTCATTCATCATTAACTTCCTTAAGAAGGTAAACAGATGAACTTCTAGCAACCAAATTCTAACTCTCGATTTAGAATTTTTCTAACCAGTAGCCAAAGCCAAAAATCGAAGCTCAACTACTTGAAGCCATCCATGCAGCTCGTGGCAATATATGACTTTCAATCATTTCAGTCGATTCCAAACTCTGAATCGTTAACTGCTACGAAGTCACCACAATCAACTTCATCTCAGGTTGATGAGTTAAGAGCAATTCTTCAAGAGAAAGATGAAAACGAGTTAAAGGGCGAAATACGTTTGGCTGTGGTACCAACTGTTAATTCGTTCAAATTTGTGATGACAAATTAAGGCTAGGAGTTCCTCAACATCAACTGAAGAAAGAGTGGCGGAAATACATAGTTGAAATTTTACTCAGTTAAGCGATTAAACAAACGTCACAATAACATAAAAGTAGGCAGTTAAATGATGCTTTCATAAACAAACTTTAAAAGTGATTGCAAAGTGATTGCTTAATTTATGGTAATTTATGAAAGTAAGATAAATTGAGCTTTAGTAAATTCAGCACTAAGAAGCAAATTGAATAGCAGTGACATTCAAGTGTTTCAAACATGAAAATAACTTCGTTTCATAGAAATAATAGATGAACGGTAATTTTAAAACGAAAAAAGATAAAGCTTTTAGCCAGTAAAAAAGAAGAGAAAATCCAAGAAAAAGAAGAAAAAATCCTCTTCGAAGCTTTCTGCTGGCGAGGTTTGTATTTTACTAGCTGTCGCTTGCAAATTGCTTGCGCTTACAATGAAATATATCTAACTGTTACCTTTTAACCTTTATAATCTATTTCACCTCAACTTTATTATTATACAAGTTTTTGGTGGGTAAAAGATTACACAGGAAAATAACATATACTTTAATTTCTCTATCATATTACTGTTTGAGAAATCATAGGCACCAATTATTTTCTGATTCGCTTTCAATTTTATGCATTTCTCATTTTACATTACTTGTTAATGATCTTTTAACCCAGTTTAAATTAAAAAAATTTATTGTATTACTAATATTTACAATGCTTACTATTAGTAATTATAAAGCATCAATTAAAGTTCATTTCCTATACTTTATTCAATTTATCATACTAATTTGTCATCATAACAGAGTTTCAAAATCGTAGATAACATATTTTTTTTCCTTTTTGACATCTTTTTTCACTATTTTTACTATCAATAAATTTGATGCCTTTGCTTCTTGAAATCCAGCTTAGTTAAGAAATTTGTCTTGTTCTAACTTTGAGAATATTCTTACTTAAATACAGAGCTGACAATTTGAGGTGAGTAATGAATCGTCACCTGCTGAAAAATTGACCACTGAAAGTGTTCCACTTGGCGAACAAGTGGTTGTGGAAAATAAGATTGCACCGCTTGAAATGAAAAAGTTAGAAACATCTAAGGTAACAACACCGACGAGCAGTAACGAAAGAGGAAAGGTTCTTGATTATCAGATTTAAATTATTTATGGCTAATAGATTCAAAAATTTCTACGATCATTTCGAATTCAGTTACTAGTAGACTGAAAAATTATCAACATAAATGTTTTATCTAATTCATTTTGATTTTTTTCAGCAAGCTAAGCCAGAAAATGATGTTAAGACAGCAGCGTTGCTCATTACTTCGTTTGTTTTAAAATTTTCTTCTGAACAATCATTTAAATCCTAAATACAAATCAAAAAAAAAAAAAACAAAATCAACCTGTATTTTTTCAATTTGTGGAAATAAATGCATTGGACCACTTGAATTTTAGAGTATCATCATCAGGGAACGATGATGTAGAGAAAAAGAAAACAAAAAGGAGGAAAAGCAATGGAAAGAACATGAAAGGTTAACTTTGTTCACTATAATAATAATTCAAGTTCTTCTATCTTAGTTTTTCTTTATTTTTATATTTTTAACCTTTTTAGAGAATACAAAAAAAAAAATTAAATTCTTGCATGAAAGACATCATAATTATCTAAGGGAAATCGTAATTCAAAAATAACATTGATTTGAGAATGCCGAGGAGTCGCAGGATGAAATGATGAAAAATTTTCTAGACCTCGCAGATGCCAGAAAGCTCTTAATTACTTGATATTATTAAGCATCTCTCCCCAATCTTCAGTTTGATCTCATCTTATTGACACAATATAGCTGTGATGTAAGCGATCTTAGTATGGAAATGGGTCGTAATTTGGATATTTTTTTGATTTGAAACTGTATTTTTCTTAATAGAAATACTTCAGTTTTATATTTTACATAAAAATTTTCATGCATCTTAGTATTTCAATATTTATATTGTGTTTTAAATATTTTAATTTCCCTTCAATTTTTAGACGAAATATCTTAATTTTTAGGAATGAAATCTGAATCGATGAAATGAGAAATCGGAACGACCAAAATTAGAATTGAATCTCATTCCATCCGATAACTTGTAATTCGTTTAAAGTCAGCTTTGTAATTTGTAATTGATGTCCCGTACTGATTGACTGATAAAGCTAACTTCATGGATAATTAACAAAATATATGTTTTAAGTAAACGATCTGAGGTACCGGAGTGTAAATTTCTTTTTGTACCCGAACTTGAGATTTCATCTTCAGATATATTTGCGAAAAATGTTAGCATAATTAGTTGGAAAGCAGCAGAATGATCTTTATGAGTACATTTGGTTAGGAAAACCGATAATAACTGTACAAAGAACCTTCAAATAGGAAAATCGTTTTTGACTTTTTCCTGATGAATTTTCCGGAAGAACAACTTGTTTGAACTCTACCTTCTTCGTTCTACTGATCATTTTATCAGTTCCATGTCATATACATAAGGTTGTAACTTATCAATTCCGTTCACAATCGTATGCGTTCTCTCACGCTGATTCTACTACATCTATACGATCTCTACGTGTAATCTTTCTTCTTTTTTCATTTCTTTCATTATTAAAAATTTGGCATCTATTTCTATTTTAAGCAGCTAATTAGCTTATTCAGTAGACTCGGTGTTCAGTAAATGATAGTTTTATGTATAATTCGTAAGTGCTCTTACCTGTTATCATTAGTCAGCAAATCTAATATACTATTTACATCGGAAAGAAATATCCTTTGATCCCAATTTAACTTCAATGAAATTTACTTGCAAAATAAATTTTAAAATAAACCTAGCATAAAAAAGATATCAAAAAGCTATGAACAATTTATTATTTCATTAATAAATAATACTTATTAATAAATCTACTGCCTCAAAGAAACTTAATAATTAGAATAAGTTCTATATGTTTAAATGGACCATCATAGTTAAAATGAGCAATCAACTGTTACACCAATTAAAAAAGTGAATAAAAGTTATTTTTTCTGAATTTTCCTTTACTGTCATTTCTGACTTGTAAGAGCGCAGTCGATTGCTTCAAGTTTTACATTGTTTGGAAGTGGTTTTAAGAAGTCAACTAGAGTGGTACTATTCTTTTCATATTTCGGAAATGCGAGAAAGAGGATTTCAGATTTCGATTCTTGTTGCGCTGTTGTTACTGGCTATTATTACAGAAGCAGAAAATCCAGGTGACAAAACTCTAGGAAAACGTGACACGGATGGGTCCTCAAACACAGAAAATACTACTCAGTTGATAAATAAAGCAGAGAAAATTAAGATCGAAGAAGCGGATACAGAAAAGGTCCAAGCAACGGAGAGAGCAGCAATCGATGTGGCGGATGCAGAAGACATGGAAGAAACGGAAGCAACACATGCTCAAGCAGCGGAAGCGGAACAATTCAAAGAAACAATGAATACAGTGGAAGATGGGAAAATTGTAGAGCAAAAAACCAGCTCTCAAGAAAATGGACCAGAAGTTGATGAAAATAATGATGATTTGTTCACGATGGAACATCTCGGACTAGACATTCCGGTGAAATCAGCTGTTGAGGCATTAAATATGGATGTGCTGAAACAAATGTTACTAAAGAAGTTGACGGAGAAACTTGGCAAATATGCAAAGAGCAATGAACGTAAGAAAAAAATATCTTAAATTATATTGAATGGGATAATGTCGCAGATAATTTTTAACCGTTTTTCTTTCAGTTTACTTTGATCAGAAATGGTTAGTAATGCTGTGATAATCATATCTCATATTATTAATGTGGCAAGTTATGCTAATGCAAATTATTCATTTCCAATTTATATCTAATGCTTTGTTTATAACATAATACAAATGATCTATCACTCTTTGTTCATCTCACACACCGTTGCACAAAGATGACAAAACTTTAACTGGAAGATTTGACTATAAAAATTAAGATTTTCCAATCAAATAAATAAAGTTTCAAGTATTGGATCTCCTATTTTTTGATTTCTTTCTTAGATCTTCTCCAAGACAGCTTAAATCTCATATCACAACATTTGGGCAGTGAATTTGAATTGAAAAATTGAAAGTGCCAAGAATATGACTTTGCATTTTTCTTCACGACGAAAAAGGTTTGAGCATTGAGTGCAAGGCTTTTCTTACTGGAGTTATAATCAATCTGTGTTTAATGAACAGATGAACTTCATGCTGGGTTGTTCTTACCAAGATATCAAGGTCAAACCTAGGTTTCATTTGTACCTCATTTTCGTAGCTTAGTTGTTTATCATATTTGGTACGAATTTCTGCTTTTATAAAGATATGTGACATCGATCCTAGTTTTCTTGCTTTGTCATGATTGGCAAAGTAAAAAAATTGAGATTTATATTTTGAATTCACCAATTGCAAATCTCACATTGGAATCTGCAGTGCATTCATTAATCATTGGTTAAGGGTATAGGTTAGATCTTAGGTTGAGGAAAGATTTCTGCAGAGAATTATAAAATCTATGACTTGGGATCACTTCTAAGGTATTTAATTTATCTCGAAGATTTTCGAATTTTATTCTCATTCAAGCTGAGAAATTTTTATCTTATCTAAAATTAATTTATTCACATATGTTTTTTCAGCTTGTCTTTGATTCATATGTAACCATAAACAGTAATTCTGTTTTATTTACATGGTTTAGAAAATTAATCCTAAAAGATTTAAATCACATAGAATCTGAAGCAATTTCCTAGTAACCTTAAAATAATCTGTCCTTATAATCTTAATCTGCTTTCAATACCCGTTTCTAAACCGTTCAATCTATTGATATGTGCTGTCCAAATAGCTGTATCTCTCAATTTTTCTTTATAATCGCTGAATTACTATCAAAACTTTGTATTATTAAACACAATTAAAATGTAAATCGTTATCACTAGAAGTATAATATCACAATATATTATTAGCAAATTTATGTGTATCAAACGAACTGAAAACAACTCATTTTCTTCTCTCCAACGAAGTAATTATACTGTCACATCTCGCGGCGCATCTTTTTGTACGCTCGTTTGTTGGCTTACTTCATCCATTTGGCTCACTATAATTAATTAAGTAAATTGAAAAATTTACCACACGTAATTAATCTAAATAATTAATCAGTATTGCCTTCAAATATATTTTGATTCAAATAAGAAGTAAGTATTAACCTCCCTTTGTAGTTGATTCACCTTTGTCACCTGAATGTTTGCTTCCTTTGCTTTTACTTTTCGTCTTTATAGACTGAAATAACGTAACAGATCGTAATAATGAACATCAAAACCGAAAATTTAATCAACAGTTTAAATAACTTTTTTTTGGATTATTAAACTGACCGGTCTCGGATTTCGTCGTAATGCCCACATGAAATGATCAGAATACATGATCAAATAGGCGATCAGAAATACGATTATTATCGCTGTAATACTAAAACTTCCAATTAAGTACCAAAAATAACTTGGGCATGCTCCCTCTTGCTCTCCGCTTTCCAAGAATTCTTTATCTGACATCTTTTAATTCTTCAGTAAAGAAAATTTTTTGGAATATCACAATAACTGCAAATGAAAATAGTTTTTATGAAACAATTTTTAGCATTATTTTATAGTGCATCAAAAAATGCAAATTACAACAAAATTCTTTTTGCTTTTTGTGCATAGTTTAATATCTGCTTTTTTATTTTCTTATCTATTTTTATGTACCATTCCTTCCAAATAGCATCTTTTCTTGGTAGAATAACTTGTTAAGAGTGAATTTTGACTTTTTGAAGATACAAATGTGAATTTTGACTCTCCATTGATTTCTCAAAAATTGCAACTGTCATTTGTTGGAAGTTAATTATACAAGTTAGTTTTGCGTAAAAATACTTCGCAATCTTTTCATTAATCTAAAGTGAATTTTGATTAAATAAGAATAAACGCTTTTAATTTGTATTAATTGAAGCCTCTACCTGCAATTATTAAAACTGAGTAGATCAAAAAATCTTTCATATTATACTGCTAATAGTTTTCTCAATTGCAAGAATTGCTGGTTTATTTATTTTGTGGGTGACAACTTTGTACATTCAATTATCACTGATTCCAACAGCCTTATGCTTACAATGAATTATAGTTGTTTGGTAATGAATTTCCAGTCATTTTGAAAAGGAATATTATAAACAAACTTGACGGATTCAAATGAAAAATTAAAATCTTTTTTGGTATCAATTGAAGTCAGTGAAAAAGATATTTCCATGAATTGCTTTCAACAGCTGTTATGATCTATCATATCAAAGGAAGGTATTTTTTGTATGAGAAAACCACTCAGAAATTCTGTCTCACATAAAGTATTTGACAGCTAATAAGATAAAAAGTAAGAGAAGCAAGAAGAATCACAAATTCAAAACGAAATTTGTATAGTGAGTGAGGTTACCGTAATCACTTAAGGAGCAGAAGAACAGAATAATTCTTTCAACAGTTTTCTCGAAATGTAATCCACTACATGATACTAATTAAATTAATGTGCAAAATATCAGAATAAGTCGATCTCGAAGTTTCTGTTTTATCATCAGAACAACTTTTTCAAACACGTTTCAAGTGCAACCAATAATTTTCGGTATGAAAATCACAAAACGTTTAATGAAATTCGTATTTCTCGCGATGTTTACTTTCCTTCAAATGTTTGCGCTTTTTCGCTTTCACTTGTATTCCATCTGAATAAACAAAACTTTCATTCTTTTAACATTAATTTCCTGGAAAAGAGAAATCATTGATCATCTAAATATTTATGAATTTACTCATTCAATAAAAAATTGACAATCAACTTTACCATTTTCTTTTCTCCGAAGACCCCGTACTTTTCTTGACCGTTTCATCCTTAGCCCTGCAGTTAAAATTTTTTTTAAATACATTAAAAAAAAATTATTTGTTTTGTTGTGTCGCATAGCTGTCATAGGTGACACAGGATAAAAAATATAAAGGATTGAGGAACCCTTATTTAGCATTCTTTGGTGCGCATGTGGAGATGCCGCCTCAACCAATTGGCGGCTTAGTCGCGATCTGCAATGCATTATTTCATATTTATTGAGGATTGCAGCTGTAAATAAACGATAATTTGTGGAAAAAAAAGTAGCTAGTGCAGGCAAATGCCAATTGTTATTCTGCACTAAAGAAAATAGTTGAATCGATCAATGCTGACAAATATAAAATTGAAACAAACTTTGAACTTTTTTTCTTCCTATTCTTCTTTCTTTTACCTTTTCTCTGAAGTTTAAATTATTTCACATCAACAGTTTCATTCTATTAATCTCAACTCATTAAGCAATTAACGGTCAATTTTTTCTCCACAAATTGCAATACTTAATTTCTTAATTTTTTTCCATTATTTTTCAAAGGGTCTTGTAAAATGTCCACAAGGTCTCCTTATCCCAATTCTTTTCTCATCTGTGTCATATCAACTCTAACTAACATTCCTCGAGACTAATTATTTACCATAGCATTGCCTCTTCTCGAGCTTCGTTTTACTTTATTGTCACTAATCAATCTGTTGGATAATTCATTTCCACGAGTTTTTTTCTCTTGAAATAAAGAGTTACAAAAGTTTTGCGGAATATAACGTGCTGAAGTAATATAACATTTGATAAGATACTGAAAGAAAATTTCAGAAATGCCAAAACAGACTTGGTTTAGAGGATGAGATAACTTGTCGTTGTTGCATGTTTCTGTAAATAGAACCTAAAATTATTCACCAAAAATCTCGTTTCTTTTGTTATTTTCAATAAAAAACACGAAATTTTTCAAAAATTTGAAATTTGAGAATTTTTCAGAGTATATTAAATTAAATAAACTCATGCAAGGCTTCAAAAAATGTATTTAGAAAGAGAAAAAAGAGCTTAATAGAGTTAAATGATGCTAGAAATCAAGTGACTTCACTTTTTCCATTTCTTCATTGTGTCTGAAATCTGAAAATTATTGCATTTAAAAGAAGAAATTATTGTTTTTTTTTGAAAATTTATCGCGACTATTTATTATCCTGCATTTTATAATCTACTTTATTAGTATGAATGCACAGATACAGCAATGCAGAGGAGGCTAACCTCTTTGCCATTATACAAGCCTAGCTTTGATTCTGATTTCGGAACCGGTTTTTGCTCTCTTTTAGAATCTGTAATTTGCATTGCTGTAGTTGAACTAAATATTACAATAAATCTTAATTTTAAGCGAATTTCTTATTTCTTTGTATTGTGAATTTTTTAAAACTGTTAGGTCAACGTTTTAATGACCTCTTCAGTTTATTTCGTCACAAATTTTGCTATTCAAAACAATTACATTAGCAAAATATTTGCAAGAAAAAAATTGCGATCACTGACTAAAAATATTGAACGAGTTAGTGACCATTAGAATCACTTACAGTCAAAGATGGTCACTCTAATAATTCTATGAGAGATTACAACACAAAGGTGCAAATGGAACCTACCGTCCTTATCGAATTTTGTTTTACCACGCACCACTAAACGGATAAATGTTAGCGGAGTTTGGTAAATTTCATCTTCCGATAATTCACCATATAAAGCTATGTATCGCAGCAATTGAGCGATATCATCTACTGAACACCCGATAGATGTCACCATCTGTAAATATTCAATAAACTTTAGAAATGGGAATTATAATGAAATTCTTGAACTAAATTCTTTCTTTCTTATTACCTCGGTGGATAGCAATTGTTGAGTGATCTTTTGTTCCGGAGTTATAATATATGGCGAATGAGCTGAAATCGACTGGTTCAATTAAAATTCATCTACACAAATTTCTGCAGTGCTGGCATCAAAAAAATGTCTAATTCAAAGTTGTGTAAAAAAATTTTCTACATTATTCGTATTGCAAACAGCAGACGAATTTCAAACTTATTGCTTTTATAGCATTCACATTTTTCTAGTTTTACCTTTGTCAACTTTCACCTTTGCTGGTTCACCCTTATTGTCCAGAAAAAGCTCTTCATCTTTTTCTTTGTAATAAATATATATAGAAAGTATCAAAAATATGCATAATAAGATTAGAGTGACCATAAAGCCCATCAACATTAGCACTAGCTTTGTTGCAATCTCGTTTGAGATACCTGCAAGTGATTATCAATAATGCTGAAATCACTAGTCATGATAATCGAAAAGATGATAGGTAAGTTTCTATGACGCTTTCCTGAGATAATATCCGAATTTCAAGCCAACAGTTAATTATGATTATAAAAGAAAACTGAGCGAATCTCAACAACCTGTATAGATAACATGGTGTTCATCGATACTGAAATGTTCATCGATACTGAAATATCAATAAATTTAAAAGTTAAAAATATTTGCTTTTGAACAGCCAAAAAATTTAACAAACGCAAAGGGAAACTGTTTGAATATTTTGATAAATAAAATCACCGATTAAAAATTTTAAAAAATTAATCGATGATTTTCTTTAGGAATCAGTAATCCAGTTGAAATTTAAAAAAACCCAAATTGGGCTCGATTTGTCATGCATAATTGCATCACTTTTGCAAACTTGCTTTGCACAATATCAGAAAAAAAAACACGAAAGTTCTTTTTTAGAAATATATTTTGAGATAATAATTTGCAGAGCCAATTAAAAATATCAAATAAGTCGTGTCTGTTTCAGACTCATGAATTATCTGTATTAAATCAGAAAAAAGCGAGTCACAAAATAAATTAACCAGTAATTAAAAGCCATTGTTTAATGAGAAAAACAAATTCATCAAAATGGAATCTAAATAATTAATTAACTAATAAAATAATACTAGAATTGCATTAAACGTACGTTCGAATCGCCTTGATAGTAGTACCACTGTTGTTCTTTTGTTCTGAAACAGTAAAACCATCACTAATAATGGGACTGTTAATTTTCATTTTAATTCATAATTCTAAGAGAAATTCAAAAGTCTCGGATTTGGCAACTTTTTAAATGTTTTTAGAAATATTTATAAAGTATAGAAAACAGTTGATGATGTATTACCAACAGTCAAGTTTTTCTGAAAAATAGAAGAATTTTTTCCTTTTTGAATCTCTTGACCTTTGCTCTCTGAAATGGAACGAAATATAATGACAATATATATTTTAGTAGCATTAGGCAACTCTTTTCGTTCGTCCGATTCTTATCAACAAAGGCTTTCTGTTTTTTTTCCGCTTTCGGTTTTAGATTGAATATTTTGCAAATGGCCCATTATTTTCAAGCACTACCTGTTAACAGTTACAAGCAATCAATTTCTAAATTACGACTAAATTAATGCCTAAGTTAATTTAAAGAATTAAGATTTCACAATTGCATTGCTTTTCGAGGCAGTGATATGATGAATACAATGTATGATACCTAAATTAATTTTTCATACCTTGTGAAAATTTTTGTAATGGTGGCATTGGAAAGGAACTAACCGCTTCTTTGAATGAAATTTATAAACAACGCTTAAATTGAATTAATTTATCATAGAAAAAGTACAAATGCTTATGAGAGAAATGCAAGAAATTTGCATAATTTATACGTATTTCGACTATCATTTTACTTTAAAAATGTTACTAAATTCAAGAGAGCTCACAAAAAATGGTTATTCAACATTTCATCAATTTAATAATATATCCTATTAAAGTAAACAAGGATGGCAAAAGATAATGAAGTACGATATTTTCAAAGCTACTATTTTATTTTAATGTAATTAAAAAGCAAAATTCATATTTTTATTTTCAGTATTCGTCAACGATTTCTCAATAAGTCCTTCTCAAATTAGCAGCGATATTCTCTACACTGACTGGCACTAGCATGTGTTCCTTCTGTTCAGTTTTATGCAATATCACCACCTTAAATTTACCTGGTATCGACCAATGAGGGCTACGAAAATATGCAGCAAAAAGTGGTGATTAGAAATATTGAAAAGTAGGCAAAAAAGGGAAAATCCATTCATATTATAAGTCTCATAGAAAGATAAAAATAACATTCTGAAAAAAAAAAAAACTGAGTATATAAATTGAGAATGCTGTTAAGAAGGTGAAATTCTTTATAAAAATTTATTTAAAAGGACATTTTGTTCAAAGTTTTTTGCTTCTCTGTTTTTGCATTTAAATTCTCTTAAGGCACATATATTGGGGAAGATAGGAACAAAGTTTATAATGCTTCATAGTTTCAATTCTTCCTTCAAATTGAAATCTTAAACATCTATGCTCCTTTTGTATTACCATTAGCATTTTAATTTCTTTAGAATGTCGGAATTGGGAATTGTCATCTCACTCTTTCGTTAATCTTCAAATTTCATTAATTTTATTAAACTGGGAATGCTAGCAAATATTCATTCATTTATTATTTTCAAGAAAAAATTCTTCATTATTCTTATATTTTGATTATAGCACTGTTTTATTAGAAGTTAAAACGGTCCAAACTCGTTGAGGAATAACAAAATGGTAACGGAGAGGATTCAGAAGATTTCTTAGAAAATGGCAGAAGCAGAGAATTCTCTTCTAATTACATTTATCTATTGACTGGAGCTTACTTGTTGAAACGGAAAAGGAATAAACAAAATAAGAATTAAAAATTTTTCCGAGTCCGGTTCTCTTTTCGAGAGATAAAGAATTTGTTTGGATAACTTTTATCAATGGCGTTTCTTTAAACAATTTAAAGAATGCGAATTTTACACCTAAACGAAATAGAAGCAATGATTAAGCAAATATTTCACTTAACAAATGTCTTCGTTCCTTGTAAGAGTAAGAAAAAGTTTTATCACATAAGCATAGCGACAATAACAGTTTCTGGGAAACGTGAACTGAATCCACGTAACGTAACAAATCTCCTGTTTTTCTCATCTGTCCGCTAAAACAACGCTTGCAATGAAAACAAAGTTAGGTCACAGCATAAGTTATCTTCAAGTTCATCAGCAAAATTCTGGAGAAAATCAATTGATTTATGGTTCTGTTCTTTAATTAAAAATAATGGCACCTCATTGTTCCTGGTTTTACACAATTCAGAAATTAAAAAAACGAAAATTCCAGAAATATTTAATATACAAAGTTTCAAGAATTTCCACATGATTATAATGTAAAAAAAAAAATGATGGAATCATTTCCTTTCTCTAAAATTCAAAAGAACTGAGACGCAGAAATTAAAAAATTTAGGTTTATTAGATTAATACAATTGAATTTTAGGAATTTCTAATAAAGTTAGAAGAGGATGTGGATGGCTGATATTAGTACTTCAATAAAATGAAGAAGAAAGAGATATACAAAAGATAAAGAGTTGAGGGATGAAAAATTTTCAAAGGGTTTTAAAAGAAGGTAGATGTGAAAGGTGATGAAGAGATTCTTGCGTTTATATAAGTGGTTACAGCATCTTCAAATACTTTATAATAATAATGAAATAACAGGTTGTAATGCCTACATATTGCTATGAACGAAATATAGAGATGAAGATTGATTCTCGATCGAGTCTAAACAAGTCGAATTTTATTTCTGAAGTAGTAGCATTCATCCTGATGAGTGCTCGGACAAACTGCCTTAATTGATTAAGATTTTATAAAAGGTCTTCATTGCACACCTTTTTTTGCATTTCTTGCGATGACACGAATATATTATCGTGGAACACTGCTTAGTCTAGTCAATGACAAGTTTAAGTGACAACCTCAGTTCCTTGATTTGTACTTTATTAAATTCAAATATCGTTAATGAATTGTTTTAATTAAGCCAATGATCTATTTTTAAATTAAAGTTGATGTAAACGTTGAAAAGAATTTCAAGTTTACACTTGTAAATTTATTGTACTTCTTGTAATGATAATAATTAGTTATATTGGATTGCTTTATTAGTAAATATTTACTTAAAATTGAGTTATTGGGCATTTAATATGATTCTTCAATTATGAAGCCATTAACAAATAAGTATATGTTTGGTAAAGTTTTTCAGAATTATCAATATGTGCTTAAATCTTGATCTGCTGATGAGCATAACAGTAAGTTAATTGATAATAATGGTCTGATGAGTATCACATTAATTGATAATAGTAGTTGGTAAATACTATAGAAATAAGTTATTATTTGAATAATATAATTAGTATCACATTAAGATTTGGGATTGAATGAAGTTATAAATTATTTTTTCTCTCTTAAGAAGCGCAAATTTCAGATTCTGAGTAGTAATTACTTCAGCGTAATATATTCAAATGCAATTCTGGAAAAACCGATCGTTACATGCGAACCAGAAAGAATTCATATTCAAGTATCTTTTTTAATATAAATAAGTGATTCGGTAATAATAAATTTTATTATTTGACATATATGATACGATCGCAAAATAATTTTATCACTTATTCATTTATTTGCTATTAGAAATTTGCATTCTTATATAGAAAAGATACGAATCTAAGATTCTAGTAATCTTGGTAACTTATATTTTCTGCTTTTGGCCAAGTCGTATAATCTTTTGTTTTATAAGTCATACAATTTGCAAATAAGTTCTATTTTTAATGCGTTGTGTTTGAATATTAAATTCAATTATTATTATCATCTTCTACCATCGGCAATAATTATTAGTTAAAATTTGTTTATCTTAGATCCAAACGAATGAATCAAATCCGTCGCATATTTATGCAGAAGACCATATTGGTGATCCGGATTGTGCCACTAGGGACGCAAGTCAGCTCACATTGCTACTCGGAAATTGTGGTATGACAATCAAGAAAACGGTATAAAATTGCTTGGAGAAGCTTTTTTGACTTTTAATCAACTTATTATTCTGTTTCACTTCTTTTATGAAAACAAGAAAATGGCGGACTCTCTTTTTTTTATGACTTTTAAACAACTTCAGAAAAACCCGTCGTCTGTCATTTATAAGATTTGCATAACTGTACAGCTACACCCGGTTTTCATCACTGATAATGACCGTTCCTATTGCGCCCAATGTGTTTACCTGGGTACAGATATCATTGAGGATTTTCAACAGTCACTTTCAGTAAGGTAAGCACACATTTAACATCTATGAATTGAAGGAAGTTATTCATAACAATCTTTATTCTTATAATTGTGAGTATTTCTGTGTGTGTCAAATGATTCCAAATTAAGTAAGTTTTAGCGAGTCGGCATCATCTGATCTAGAGCCAAAATTTGATCTGGTAACACCTAGATGCAGTTACCAGATCAGGCGGAATTCAATCGATGGACCGCTTATACGTTACGCATTAGTTGGAGAAACTGTTTATCATGTTTGGAAATGTTATGGTGGTAAGTAGCGTGAATATTTTTCGTTTTACTTTTTAACCTCAATTCCCCACCTCTGATCGAATATTTCAGAAAACTTTCAAATACTGGTACAAAATTGTTATGTGGAAGATGGCGAAGGAAATCATATTTTAATTATCAGTGGTGACGGGTAATAAGATTTCATATAAATTTAATATATGACAGTTTTTGAAAACATTGGAATATTTAAGGAAAGAGAACTAGAGCGATTAAAATATGACTTATACAGGTGCGGTGTTGATCAGTATATTCTGCAAACTCCTGTATATTCACTCGACCGACGAACTGCTTCACAAGTGAAAATAAAATTGACTTTATAAATTGTAGCAATGATAAGCTGGCGGTTATTGTTCTGATATCATATAAAATTAATTCTAATTAGCTTTGATTATATACATTAGAAATAGTAATTTTATGATAATTAATTACAGCATCTACTCTAATACAAAATTCCGTTGATTATGCTTGGTTGTATTCGTAAAATAACTATAAATAACTTTACAATATGCATCCGAAATTGATATCTTTCAGGTGATGCATGTTTTCAAGTTTGCCGGGAAGGCAATAACCCGTTTTACTTGTGAAATCCGTATTTGTGTACCGTCAAGTGATAATTGTCATTTATCTGCAGTTAGTTATGTTATCTCACTTTGTTAATTTTATTCAATTTGTTAATTTTCTTAAAAGTAATAATTTAGATTTCATCAAACAGTCATATTCCGGTTTCTGGGTATTTTCTGATTTAGAAAATGTAATAAATATCAAATATGATACAAAAAAATTTTTTTTCAGCCATATGTTCGATGTCCAAGAAGAGAAGAAAATGATAGAGAGAGCAACAATTCGAGCGGTGCATTTATCCCGATGATACCAGTAAACGGAACATCAACAGCAGATGCAGCACAAGAAAAATCAACCGAAATAATAATAGGTAAGGGATCCTGGAATGTAACAACCAGAAAGCTCAACTTGATAACACCGCCACAACATTTACTGTCAACGACAACGATCACAGAATCATCGGATATAGAAGAACCGTTTTTTATATCGGCAACTGATAATTATGGGTTTTATTCGGAGAGTAGCGATGCGATGCCCCCATCCGTGCAACCACTACCAAGGAACTCTGAAAAGGAAATACAAGTAGAACCTAGGTAAGATATAGCTACCTTGATGTATTTGCTTATAGTAAACTTAGAAATATATAAAAATTACTATGTATTTGTTTACCTATTTTAGCATTTATGAACGACGAGCAAAACGAAATTCCTTCACAAATAGATTAACAAAAAAAGATGCTTTTTTGGATTCATCAAAAAAAAATCATTATTCCTCATATGACGTAAGTGGTGTCATAACAGTTCTTGAGTCACCTGATCAAGTTGCCTATTTTGGTAAACATTTTGCTACTTTACTTCATTTTTTGGGTACTAAAACTCAAATTATTTATTGAACATACTGGTGGAAAACAACTTTTATGGATTTAATATACTATCCTTCACAGTCATCCAAACACCGAAAAAAATTACTTAAATTAGTTTGTGCTTTTTTATGTACTGAATAAAATGAGCTCTGTATGTGTTATAATAACCTCATAAAAGTTAAACATATCTGAGGACTAGCCAAGCACATCTAGTTAGACTGAAAGTTCAATTTCTGAGGTTCTTAAATTTTAGGACAATAAAGTCCTTCATTCTGCATATTAATTTTTGCAGAAAAGAAATATCCACCAACTGGAACTCGTCACGACACAACTATTCTTGGCATTACAGATACTGTGAGGCGCTCTTTGGTGAAATGCATGCCACAGCTCATTTTCTTGGCTCTAATCGGAGTTATCGTCTTATCAATTATCTTAATATCAGTGACTATTTCATGCATCACTCATCACAGATCTTGTAATCACATCATAATTTCTCGTACTAAAAATGGTGAACTGTGGCATCAAATTCAGAATCGCTCAGTTTCATTCTAGTCATTTTACAGAAAGGTTGAAGTCTTTTTTCAATCACTTTTAGTGCGTTTCATCAATTTTAGTGCAAGTTGCATTTCAAAACTATTCCGCTACAGGCATCTTTTATTTATTATATCAGTTTTTCTGTCTTCTGTGATACCTTTCAAACATTTATCATAACTGACACTTTCGATGTTATAAATTTTCATATGATTTATACAAAAAAGTAGAGCAAAACAATATGTAATTGATGAAAAATTCAAATTACAAAAATGTGCTCAGATTGTTTATAAAATTAATTCACTAACCACCTATGAAGCATTTTAGTGTCACATTCTGCTTCTACTTTACATCATCTGATAAATTTAGAGATTACCAATCTCAAAACAGTTCTGAATAAAAGCAAATCATCGGTTATTTTACAGCAGTAAAAGCTTTCTATATATGGTGACATAAGCGATACTTCAGAAATCTGCCCAAAATAATTAATAATAATAACAATAATAATGAAAAATCCTTTTTATTTTATTTCAAATTCGAGGTGGATTTCTTAACTCGGAAGAAAAAAGATTAAAAAATTTTTGAGCCAAACAAACAATATTTGGGTCAAATATTCCTTGCGTGGTCACAATGCTTAGAGAATTGGAAGAAAAATTATACTACATAAATCGAATTACATTGTGTCACAACGTTAACAGAAAAGATGGATTGAAAAGATGCCTTGATGATATTCATGGAAAAAAAGATTCATACCTTTCAAAATTTCCAAAGATATCATTGTAGATGTATAATGGGACACAATTTCATTTGGTCAAGGTACCTTATCTCAATAAATCTGATTCTTATAAATGATTGCAATTCAGGCCATAATGAGAAGTGAATTCATAAGCTGAAAGAGTCTTATACCTATTGATAGAAGAAGAACTGATGATGTAGCGGAATGATGTGACCTTAAATAACTTAGGAGAATTTAGCATCCGAAAATGAAGTTTTGGAAGCAAGACACTTTGAACTATCTGTGATGTAAAGTTGTGACTGTTCTAAAACTACTCGGAGAAAGCAAACAAACAGAAAAGAATAGCGAAACAAAAATTAGTGCGTATTTTTCATTATTGGTAATCTCCAGGTCTCCACATTCTATTAATCGGATTAGAAAGGTAAATCATTTAAGCTATCGATTGTTAGACATTTTAACTTGTTTCACTTTAGCTATTTTATTAATATCTTTTAGTAATGAGATTAAGGTGATGTTATGGCAGAGAAGCAATAGTACAATAAATTTTATAAAAAAGAATGAGATAAAAGTAGCGAAAATGCCTTTTTGTAGTCGGATTACCTCATGGCTGAACTCTCCTGGCTCTTTATATAACAAGCAATATACATAAATAAAGTATATGATTTACAATAAGAAGTTGAGCTGCCGAAAGAGTAATCAGTCTAACAAAGATTTATTGACCTGATTTACAAGCAAATCTAATTACTAGTTGACAAGCCACAAAGGAGGTAAGTTAATGTTTAAACAATTAATGATGAAACAACAGTGAGATTAACTAAATAAGAGCTGATACGTGTAAACAATGTATGAAGAGGTTTACAGCCTAAACTTAAAATTGGAAACAAAGAGTTTACATTAATAGAACATATTTCTTACTCATATGTTCTACTTTCATACAATATTTTAGGGTTTTGCGATATTAAAATCTGCGACAGATATTGAGAGAGGCAAAATGCAGATACCGACAAATAAGTTTGATAGCGATCTAATCTTTGCAGCTAAAATTGAGTTCAACTTAAAACTACTCTAATAGAGTTGTATTTTACTTGTATCTTACAGTACTTATTCACTAATAAGAATTTGACTTCGAAAGGAACAAACGTTTCAGATTGTCTCCTATCTTTCACAATATTCGTTTCTCAAAAATTATCATTTAGTTTACGCTACGCATTTGTCATCTAATTTGAATATATTGTTACTGAGCCAATTATCTTACCGTATTGAATGTATAAAATGATTTGTTTATACACAAACGCTATCCACTTACTTTCCATTTTTCCATAAATTAAAGTTGCTTCTTTGAAATTCGATTTACACTTTCTGAAGTAAATTTAGCAGGCAAAATTTACTTAATTAAAACGCTTCATGGAAACTCTTAATCTCATCATACAAAATTTATTTTCAGTAATGAGACATACTAATTAAACCACTTTACTTTAGGTATCAGATACACAGATGTAGACGTATATTGCATATTATATTTCGATCTATACGGTTAATTGATTAAATTGTTTTTTTATTCTTTTATTGCAGTTATATAATAAAAATTAGTATACTGTTAAATTAAGCAGATTTTTTAATTTGAAAGTACTCCTTTCTCTTCTAATTATTTCTGTTAACTCTTCTTATCTTCAAAAAGTATTTTATACATTTGTAATTATTGCAAGATTTTGCTGTCTTTCAATGCTTACAATGCTTTCAATTTTTGAAAAGTTTTGTAAATGGCATTATAAAATAATATAGATTTTATCTCATCTCACAAAATCAGTTGTCATAATTTCAATACATGCATTCATCCGTAATCTGCAATTAATTTTGCAACAGAAATTGAAGTTTTTCATTGAATTTGTCAGCAGGATCGATTATGTCAACCCAATTTAGCATTATAATTGAGACCAATTTTCTATCACACATTGATAATTAAGTCAAAATTCAACTTTATGTCCTTGAGTAATCGGCCGATCTATTTCATAGATCGATTGCATTGCTTTTTCTGATGTGATATCTGAAAATTCACGGTTATTAACATTAAAATCAATCTTAGATAGGATCATTCCCTAGAAGTAATGTAGAACTAGCCCTTATTTTCTGTTTATTGCCAATTTTTTTAAAAATTGATTTACACTCTCTTAGTCAAAAAAAAAAAGAAATCAAAATTTGCGTGAATTTTTGCTTCCTCATTAATAATGTTTTCCGGTTATAAATTACAAAAGTGAGTGAAAGAAATTTATTAGATAAAATCTGTGTTTGTTGTAAGATGAAATTTGTTAGTCAATAATTTAGAGAAAAGAAATGAGAATTAATTAATGGAACGAACGAAAGAAGAGAGATCGTGTAATGCTTTCATCTCATTTACAAGTCGTTGTTCTTTAATATATTTCTACATGAAAGATCAAATCAAAAAGCCCAATTAGGGGATCATTCATGTTGAAGCTTTTCAGGAAATATTTTTGATTTCCTCAAAATTTTTTAATTTATGGATGATTGAATTTACTATGAGAAAAAAGACAAAAAAATTGTATTTGGGAATGAAAATAACTCGAAAATTTAAAAAAGTTAATGACATTTCATCAAAACATAAAACATTATATAAATCGATAGATGAATGTGATAAACAAATATGTTCTTAAGATCATTATGAGCTGAAGAAGCGAATTTGCTGGTACTCCTCCTTTCCAGTTTTTGATTGAAAAATACTTCTGAATTTATTTTTTAAACCCACTAGAAGCACAACTGCATAATAATAAGTAAAATTTCGTGCTTATGAGTGCAATTTTGCAAGTTAAAGAGCAGTTTCTTTTGACAGATACATCAACACTAAAGAAGAAAAGCTTCAATCAAAAGTGATTGAAAATCTATCTGCAATCATTTTTATCGCATAAAAAGAATTTGCTTCAAAAGAATCAAAACTTTCACTTATTGCAACAAATTGAAAATACTTTCAATAACGCGATAAAAACTGCGACATGAAAATTGCAGCTTTTTAAACCAATTGAAAATTTTTGTTTAATCTCGATCTTTAACAATTTATCAATTTTTCACTACCGATATCTTAAATATTAGTAATTCCCAATTGATTCCTCGTTTACTTGCATATCTGATAATGTTTCTATTCTTAAACATGCATATCTGCTGTGTATCAACCGATATAACTTAGAACCTAAGACCTCTACTGAAGAGTTTCGCATATTGTGAATTCTTTTTGAGTCGTATCATTGATGGCAGGCACAATTGTATCAGTGGCAAAGAGCGCTCAATTCAAGGACATAAAGCACAATTATTATAAAATATTCTCATGCTTCACTTAAGGATAAAATTTAATCATGAGACCATTATAGTACTGACATCGTAAACTTCTGAAGCTCCAAACTTTTTTGTTGCTTTCAGATATTTAATTTCTTAATTACTTGTTGTGATTTAAGTCTGTGAACATTTGTGCTCAAAGCTGACATACTTTTGATAAATAGATGCTGCAATAATCAAATGAAAAACAAAGCAATTTCATGATTGCTAAAAATCGTTCAGAGTGCGCAATATTTTTAAACATCCCTTAGCGCCCACAATTCTATTCTAAAGTGACATACATAACCAATCGATTTTAAATCAATTCATAAGTTTTGTTCATAAGAAGAAACAAAAATTACGTCCTTCATGCATATCAGTTGAATGGGAACCTGTTTTCTACCAGAGTTCCACGTCTCTCTTCTTATCATCTTCTTTAATTGTATTTCACATTCATCCATTATTAATTATGCTGTAGAAATGCTGCTTCTCCTCTGGGAAGATTAAAAGGTAAACTTATAGTAATAACGATATTTCTCTTAATCTATCCATTATCCACTTACTCTACTCCAGCTCTTATTTTAATTCACTAACTGATGATCAATGTGAACATATGTTATTTTCAATTTTCATTCTACAATGGCAATTATGAAACGAAAAACTCAATCGATAAAGTTTGTGATGTTTTATAACATAAAATACCAGTTTAGATAACGCTTAAAAATGCGAAAGACATATTACTTCTAATATTGATATGTGTCACCTTGTCAAGATTACTCAGTGACTATTTCATTATTTGTCCTTTACTCATATAACTTTAAGTAGCTGTCAACTTTCTTCAACATTTTCCGGCTCTTATTGATGAATGGAATGATAATTCCGGAATATCTGTTATATCTCTGCTCTACGAAGGGTTCAAAGAATTGTTATTTGACTACATTTATTTATGTTATAAATCATTTCT